AAACAGGAATTGCTTAACTTAGTACCAAACCACATGCTCAGCAGTGTACTACCTACGTCATCGATTGATGGAGGCGATATCTGATTCTACTGCCGTTGTGGACTCCTTTGAATGGCATCGCTATGAACATTTTTTCTAAGAGACGTCAGGCATTCGTTCGTTCCCGGTTTTCGCCTTTACGTTTGATTGTTTTGCTAGGAACTATTCCGGACGTCCATTTACGCGTACAGTAGATGAGACGCTTTGCAGCTCACATGCAGTCGCTTCCACTGAACTTAGCTGGCTAGCTGCCGAAAAGAGGTTACGAAAGGGAGCTCGTTTGTCATTCATTAAAAACTGAATGTGAACCATAGGGCAGTGTACCATGGAGGTTCATAATAAAGGCACATTTAAAATTTGAAGGCGTTGTAAGCTACGTCCTTAACTGTAAATCCGAATAAAGGGTAACAGTTGCTTAGTACAATTAGTGGTAGTTCTGCATACTTGGCAGTGTGCACAAGCACGAAAGTGTCCTTATGTAACGGCTATATGAATGCACGTGGTGTATATTACATACTGATTGTCTCTGCATGCAATCAATTTAATCCACTAAATACAGGTAAACGGCTGACCAAAAGACGCGAAATAGCTTAATTCAGATTATTCTATCGAAATGCTATTCATTCTTTCTCCTTTGACACTGGCAGTTGTTGGTTGTGTGGTTTAGCCTACCGCGCTTGAAATACTAACAGTCGTAGTCAAACCTGACAATCATTCTCTCCGCTTTCAAAGGACCGACGACATAGACAACAGGAGAGGTAATTACTGAATGCCAAACAGAATGCTTATTGTAGTGTCGAAGGTGCACAAAGTGAAACAAGCGTGATCTCGGAAAGATTTGACAGATAACAATGCATGGCGAGCGGGGCTACTCAATGTCCAAGAACAGCACCTTAGGTAAAATCAACGTGCCATGCGAGTTAAACTAAGTAAGGAAACCGGGAGTAATCTATCTAGTAACGTAGTATCAATTACCTGGTTTTGTGAACGAACTCATAATTGTATCGAGAATATAAATTATTTGAACATGTTCGTGTTCGTATGTAGGATTGTGCAAACACGGCTGAGGTTGTAAGCGCAGTCTCCAAATTTGTAGCAGAACCACTGTCATGGACCTGAGACTGCCTGTTACGTGCAAGGGTGAAGTCATTGTGCGTGGTTCGGAACTACTTCGGCCACCCTCCGCCTAGTACACAATGATTCCTAACAGGCCGAATCGCATAGTAGGATAACTATGGGTGGCAACAGTTGTGGACGAAGTCGGTTTCCCTGCACACAGAGGACAACATAAGCAGGCAGCCACGGACGAGAATGACCAACAAAACGGTCCAAAGTTTGAAGGCTGCAACTGTGTAAACGAGACTTGATTGTTTTCTCCAAGTAGGCTAGCACGGTACCCGTGTCCACCAACACACGTAATGTAGCATAAGCTGGCTGTGGCTATGCCTGGGGCTTGAGAACAATCCAAAATATCATCGCGCATCCTCAGTGATTACGTGAAAGGGTTATCTGGAAGACAGGAAAAGGGCTTAGTGGACCTGAGGTGCGGCACGTGACTGGATCGTTATCGGAATACCCCTGCAACGTGTGACTGTCTGAGTGGTGGGATTGTCTGAGTGCTACAGTCTGCGTGTTCGTCCCCAATACGTGCAAAGTACTCAGGAGACTTTGCTGTGCAGCTACTGTGTGTGCGAATTCAGTGCCTATTTATTTCTACTCTCCTTACTTCAGCTGCATCTGAATACCTCAATAACTGATCCTGCCTACCGTTCTTTTCATCTATCACCTACGGTTGCCTGTTAGCTACGCGCTGCTGAAGCGACAATGCCAGTGTCTAAGGAGCAAGAATGAATAGCATTTCGATAGGATACTCTGAAGTCAGCTATTTCGCGTATTTTGGTCAGCCATTTACCTATATTTAGCGGATTGAATACCTTGCATACAGAGACCATCTGGATGTAATGTACACCACGTGCGTTCATCTAGCCACCACAAGAATGACACATTTGTCTTTATACACACTGATTTGCAGGCAGAACTAACATTGATGTCAACCACAGCTGCCATGAAAAGTTGAGGCCTCTAGAAGCAATCCCGGAATGAAATGCCTTCAGTGCACACATCGCTGAGTTTGTCGTTAAACTCAACGCTGATTTGATCTTCTCTGCATCAAACAGACTCCTTCTGCTTTCACTCGCCAATAATGAGCTTCCCAATTTACTTGCTTCCACTACAAGTCAGTTAAGTCAAGTGAACCGGATGCTCTATCGACAGTTACTTCGAAAGAATGCGCAGATGCTATAACAGTACCCGTGATAGAGATGTTAAATCATTACTTAACGAGTGGTTCCATGTGAGATACGTGGAAACCAATCTAAATAACACCGGTGTCTATAAATGGATCTTGGAAAGGTCAGTTGGCTGCGTGCACTTCAGGCAGTGGTAATCTTCTCTAAGCTTTTCAATTCCGAACCTTATTTTTATAAGTTCTCTGGGTCTGGCCGCATCCACACGACGAAATATACATCTGAAGCTAACGACCTAGGATCACGCCATTATCGATAGTTCAATCGTCGCATGGTACAAATTCTGACACTGGCGGGAGCAGATATATATATATATATATATATATATATATATATGGTATTACTAAGCAATTTACGCGGCATCAAAACAGATCTGTAGTGAGCACATGCAGATATGGTACAAGTTTAACAATTTAGCTGCTGCAGCTCACTCCAACTGACGGATGCGGCTCGAGTGACAATTTTCTAGTTTGACAAATTTTACCTGACGTCTGCGGTTTCACTCTACTGCATTTTCCGTAATCCTATATTTTACGGACAAAAATTAAGGAAATCGACTAAAACCTAAACTATGTAGCATTTTCAGCTTGGTATATTCGTACCGATTTTAACACAGTTTCGCGTGACCTATCCCGAATCGTCTCGTATTAGGTTCCAGATTTAGTTGATAAACCAATGTTTCACAATTTATCAACCTAGCGCCAAGCGATCATCATTCCTCCATCCACAGTTGATAGCAGTAGGATTCTGGTCCCGATCGCTCGGTTTAGTCCTTCTAACCGATGCCCCGCGATTTCCCTTTGCACGAGAACCATTCTGACCGTAGTCTGGAGGGCATTGGTGCGAGTGATCCTTTCGAGGTATGCTTTCATGAGAGCAGCAGAGGAAATGTTCTGTTGTCGGCTGAGTGAATAGTGAGCAGTTGCGTTGCAATCAACTCGTGTAAACGACTTAACCATGGCGCCCATTGGATCAGAACAAAATACCACAACTGAAAAATGCGCAACGAGTTCGGGACCAGCGAGCTTTCCAAGTCCCATATTCATAGCGCTTGCGCCCACTCCAGTTGCTATCTTTAAGTCGTATGCTAACTGCTGCCTCCACCTGAGATATTTCTCTCGAAGACTTCAATAACACTTATACTTGGAGCAAACCACATTAGGGACCGTGAAACATTTCTGCTTTCTGTAATTTCGACAAACATGTGCAACTTTCCTTTCAACTCCCGATCGTCCATCTGATTATTCCATCAATAGTACGTTCATTAATCAAAAGAGGGGAATCACAGGGCTACGCTACTCACCCACTCTGCTTATACGCTTTCTATTGACAGCAGCTCAGATAAGCCAATGTTAGTTTCCTGCACTATGAGAATTCTCCTTATTTTTTATTTGTACACCCATTAAAAGACATTGAATACCAATAGTTCCTGATTGACACCCGACAAAATACCCGAAGCAAAACAACAAACAACGATATGCGAAGTTTAGATCAGACCCACGCTCACTGTTTCGTCGTGCGCAATTATCAGAGATGCGGAATTTGATGTGAAAGCCCCCATATGACAGCAAGCATAAAGTGCCAAGATATATATATTTGCAATTTAAAGCATAGGATGGAATTTGGACATTCAGCGTGGCAAACTCGGAATTGCAGCAACGTCGCAAAACATAGAACGCGTTCTTACCAATAACAAATATGCAAAAAGCGAGCACCCATTTGGTGGCAAAGGAAGTGGGAGGAACCGATAAGTACCGATTTATTTGTTAAAATATTGCAAGTTCCTTTTCCAACAATCGAGAAATATTTAAACGGATAACGCATAACATATTAGAAATGATTGCCTCCTTCTTTGTCTCCACAAGGATAGCTGTCATCCGTGTATAGCGATGGTGATATGTACGTATTTTTTGATCGAATTTCCCCCGGGAACTGCAAACATGCTATCACGTTGCAATCCTGATCGTAAATCTTGTAGCTTTCTACGCCTTTAAGCTAAAATTTGAAATGAGTAGTTCACTTGCTTTTGTACTGAAACTACTTTGAATTCAATAATCTTAGGCAAACAATACTGTGACTCATCACCGTTCAATAATCATCCAAAAGCAACTCATAGCAAACCTAACAACTTACCGAAACATCCGGTGCGAATAACACATTTTTATACGTGTATACAGCACCTGCTTCCAGCGGACATCCCTCATCTATATAGTTGCAGATGTTGTCCGTCCCGGGCAATTGTCGTAAACACTTCTTCGACTGTGAATCGCTTATGCAAGCTTGCAGCTTCCCGGAAAGAACCCTTCTTCCTATATGAACACAAATAATAAATGTAAGCGCCATATAAGTTGATATCTGAGCAGTGAAAACAGAGTTCGTGACCGCAAAATAAAAGAAACACTTCAGATCAAGCACCTAACGCTGCGCAGATAAGATGTTTATAGATCAAGGCATGATTTCGCTTTAGTTAAGTGTTATGACAATAAATTAAAGTACAGAGAAGAAGCTGCCAAAGAAAATCACTTAGGCTTGTGTTTCATGGTGTGCAAATTGCGTATTCCTTACCAATGAAATCCCACATCATTACCAGACTAGGCAAAGAGCACAAACTAAAATGATTTTAAAGCGAACCTATATCATATAATATTCCCTTACTTGTTCTGAAGGTGATTTCTTTTCTTGCAAAATTACCTCCTTCACAGACACAAGGTGCCTGGGTGCAATTTGACACGAATGCGCCGACAAGCGTTTTGTCATCAGCTGGAAGCAGTGAAAGCAAAGGAGGACAGATAAACAGTCATCAATTAGTTGTTGGTGTGGGCTGATCTGCATCCTACAATTTGTGAGACTAAACTACTGATATCATTAAACACATAGCTGTACACTCTCAAATTGTTAAAGCACATTATTTGCCTGTGATAAATAAACATGAAACAAGAAGAGGCGTGCTACAATGGTGCACTCACAGCAGTCACTGTAAAATGTATCCGCCTGCAGAACTGCAAATTCAACAATGAGTAGAACAAAAAGCACTCTGCAAATCTTGGCGTCCATTTTCCTTGAGATACATTCTACGCATGTGACAACGTTATTATTTATACTTATTCTCATCCCATTGTATAGCTGAAGGACTGTCGCAAAGTTGGAACACCAGGCGTGAGCGGTGTATTCAAGTTGTCCGCTAAATGGCTCACCATGAAACATATGTCGATCATGTGTATTGTGTAGCATGAAACCAGTGCCGTTGAATTTAAAAACAAAAATGTGGGATATTCTTTCAACGTAAAATTCGATGGTTTGATCAACACCACCATTCCACCTACATTTATGGGAAGTCTATTTTATTAACGTAAAGGCTAAAACAATATGTAAATGCCGCTTTGAGGCGGTGTTTTCGTATTGTCTTGCTCACTTTATTTTCAAATTGCCCTAACCATTAAACCTTTGGTAAATGAAATGCAGATTTGGCATCAAACCCGTAATGCTGACTTGCTACATAGCATGAATATATCAATATACATCTTAATGTAAGCGCCGTTTTCTTTCTGGTCCGCTAGCAATAATCAAGTTCATTTTAATCGATAATCACGTTGCTGTACTGAATCTTCGGTTTGCAGCTTTCGTTGTGTCGAATGGGAGCAGAAACAGTTTTAATGTGCTGAAATAAAAGTGGTTAAGCAATGGTTAGTGAAGTACTGCGGAATACTGCTTAGTAGTCCTTGGTATGCATGGTTGATGATCCAAATCATGCTTTCTCGTCAGGGTACCGACTCAAGTCTATCCAAATGCTCAATCTGTGTTGTAATGTGATACCATGAGGGTAACCACATCACAGTGTCACGGCAGCACAGATTTAGCCGAAATTTATCCTACGCAACAACTTTGCTGCAAGCCCAAGCAAGCTAATCGGATTGAGTCGAGGTTAGATTAGGTATCGATGATGTTTCCCTGGACTTCTGTAAAGCATTCTTCTTCAACTTCTTCAAAGACATGCAATCGGCTATCCTATCCCAACTTGGATGAGCAATGTTTCCATATTTAAAATAAATCAGCATATCCGTACCTCGGGGTATGGACGCACTTGGACATTGAAGTCGCTTACGAGGCACTGCGAACCAGGCCCCTGAAGCCGCACTGATGAAGTTGCCAAGTCAGGCAATGAAACGTCTGCACAATAATCACTCAGCTCGGAAAACAGCTCAAAACTCGCAACCACAAAAGGTTGCTCGACACACCTCGACAAATGCAACAGCTGATAAAAGAACAACACAGCCCTATATCAACAGAATCTCGGGAATTGCAGCAAGGCTTTTATTGCCTTTTGGAATCAAAGATTCACACCAGCCAACGGAAACCATTCGCAGTATACTCTTCAACGTGAAAGCTAAACTTAGGAAAGAGGAAGAAACTGGTGTGGTTTATAACATCTGCTGACGGAACTGCGACAAATACTAGGTGGGACAGACTGGAAGAAAGCTTGGCACAAGGCTACACGAACACAGCCAAGCCACTCGCCCGACGATCAGAACTCCCTGATGTCAGTGCATATGTATGCGGAGAACCATCAATTCCACCTAGAGCATGCCACTATCCTCAGAATTCGCTTACGAGGCACTGCGAACCAGGCCCCTGAAGCCGCACTGGTGGCGTTGTCTAGTCAGGCCACGGAAAGTCTGCACAATAATGACTCAGCTCGGAGAACAGCACAACCCCCCCCCCTCAAGATTTCCATACGCCGTCAAGCGAACATGAGAATCCGCAGCTCCATTGTGGTGAACGTCTGTGATCTGAACTGGGGCCACGTATGTTGCTAGTCCTCATCAGTGGCACTACCTGATAATTGCAGAACACTTGAAGATCTGGCATGACAGCAAGTCAGTAGATGAGCACGCGGCACTGCAAAGGAATCTCGATAGGAGCCATTCCTGGTCATCAGAAAAGCAGTTCCAGTTCAACTTTTGGAGGCGCAAAGCTGTGAGCGCAAGCCAAATGATTATTTATGCAAATCGTCAGTTGCAACGTGCTTCCCAGGAAAACGAAATCCGGGTATTTGTTCAGGATGAACTTGGGTGCTCTAAAAAAGCCGAAACGCTTCGAGAATAGCAAGTAATCATCTGGTCCTCCTAATAAGGACGTTCAGCAATTTCCAGCTCTCTCTGTTGCTGAAAATGCTGAACGACTGCTTTAAGCCCTATGTGAAATAGGCGGTCCAACCTGAAGAAATGTGATGTCAATACACTTGAAACTCCATAAGGAAGGGGGACAAAAATGTCGGAAGTTTTTCTCATCTAAACTGTCAACACTGACTATAAAATCTGTGCTTGTACAGCTGAGAATATCGGCGTCTACAAGTAGGTCTCTTTACTGAACCAACTTCGAAGGAAAACGGCACAAAATCGTAAATTCACAATTTTCCTTTACACCAGCCAACTTAATCTGGAAGTGGATTCTGCGACAATAAAAGTAAAGCGCTTATTCACTGACGATGCTAACTAATCAAGATTGCCGCCGTCTCTGGAGATGTTTTGAGAATTTATTTAACAGAAGCAATTTTGCGAAATTTGACCATTTAGATGTGCTCAAAATAAATGGTCTTTTTAAGCCCCCCAGGGAGTATTTTCCAAGTCCACCTCCGCCAGCTCATGTTCAGTGGTTAACATTGATCGTAGCAAGGTTTGCACGGAATCCATAAAACGGACGCAAACTAAAACCGTTGCGTTGCCGTACTTTATCTAGAAGAATGTGCAGACTATCTCGTGGTGAGCCTAACCGTTTTGTTCAACCATTGTCTTTTGAGTGGTCCAGCACCTGACATTTGGAAATCCGCAATGATAATGAATGTTCCGAAAATCCCCCCTCAAATTTATCGTCCAGCTCCAGTAATTCGTTGGCCTTGAAGATCTTCGCGAAACTATGTGCCTCCGATTTTCCCCCACGCATATGCAGATGATGTAAAACAGTTTACTTATAAACCAAACCGATGCACACTAAATGCGTTGTCGTATAATGAACAGTATGTAGCGTGTACACTAAAGTAAAAATGCAACATGGAAATGGGGAAGTGACGTTATCATCTCGTACATTATTCTTAGCATACCAAAACATGCAGCAATGATTTGTAAATGAACAACCAACACTGTATTCTGCTCATATATAGCTCCGCATTTGTGCTACCAGGGTAGGCTTAAAGTCCCAGTCAGCTGTTTTTGAATGCACAGCGGCGGCCGCTCTCGATCGATAACGATGGCCTCCAATAGCCTAAGCGTGGGAGGTCGCCGATCCCGCAGAAGGACGTAAAGGACTCAGCAGGAATAACTCGGTGTCCGGTGGTAAGCAACTACTTTGAGACCACCGAGGGAGCTCGGTTTCCCGATTCAACCGATTGCATTTTTGCAGACACCATCCGGCTGCGTAACCACTTGGGGTGTTTTCATTGACTCTTAAATGTAAACTTCGTGTCGTGAGCCCAAGGTAGCTATCTCCGAAGCTACTGGTGAATTTATATAGACAGTGGGACATGCATTGCCTCGTGGTCAGTGTATTAGCCGCACACGTAAGCAAAGGTCTTGCCGACGTGGGAAGCCGCAATTCAGCTACGTAGTATGCTCAGTTGGGTGAAGCCCTGATCCATTTTTCGGTGACCTTCATAAGCCAGCCACCTCTGGAGGGCATCTCAATGAAGATTGGATCCTTCGGAAATGTTTGCACAGTGTCTAGCTTGGTTGCTTCACTGACACGCTTAATGAACTGCAACAGGTTAGCGTTGGAATGTAGCGTATTGAAAGGTCAAATCCTTTGTGCTTCTATGGTGTCAGGTGTGCAGATCATTTGGGCCGGATAGAAGAATGCCGGACGAGAGAGCGTTTGTGTTCAATAGGGAAGAAACTCATAAAATGCAGATACGGACCAGTCCAGGTTGCCTTCTTGTACACAGACCATCTGATGGAACCGTCTGGTCGCCGTGTAAACAGTATATATAAATACGGAAGTTAATTATCTTGATCATTATTATGCGTCACCGTAAACTTCGCATAAAATTTGTTGAGTGTCTTGGTCGCATGCGCAATATCAACGTCCGATTCCATAAGTAGTAGTATCTCATTAACATACAGAGTTATACAGAGTCACCGAGCTAATGTTATCCGTTTTCTCTTCAATCCTACCCAATCCTACGCATACATCTGCCAACAACGGACCTAATGGGGTACCTATAACCACGCGATCTACCTGCCGATATGCTTTCAGTTAAAAGTAAAACTTGATGTTCTGCGCGCATAAAATAAACATGTTCTTCAACAATTGTATGGGAAGCTGAAGTCGAATATCATTATTTGAGGTAAACTTGCATAGATAGTCAACATTCGCGTTCACAGGGATGTTAGTGAAGCGGGCCTGAACATCAAGAGGGAACATTCGCGTTCCAGACAAATTAACACGCTCCAAGTAAGAAAGCAATTCGAAAGAGTTTGGATGTTTAGTAATGCGCATTAAATCAGTCGGACAGACTTGAACTCCGTTCCGATCATAAAGGAAATTTTCATTGCTTTAAGTCGTCCAACTGGTTACCCGTTAGTAATTTGTCTTGGACTCAAAAGCGATGGTGTATAAAAGTGTCGAGGCAACCTACTTCTGACTGACCTTCGTTGATCTTATTAGCACATGTAACGAGAGATTTGGTAATGTCTCAGCCGTTTGCACTTGGTCCTTCTCCAGTTTTGTGGCTGTACTGTGTGAAGCTACTGAGGTCGCACTCTGATTATACCAAGCAGCAACGGTTGCATAGGTGGATGGATCTTTACTGTGTTTCGGATTTCGTTGGTCAATCTGAAGAGTGGGTGTTACCGATATTGCAACAGTTTATGCATTGTATAAGAGAATGTGCGCGGTGGGGCTGGGCATGCTTCTATCGGTCGAGATGACGAGTTGGTTATTGATTCCATAGGTTCCTAATACTGTGTGGCCGTGTGAACGGTTGGCCTGTTCCTTTGTTTCGAGGCAGCGATTGTGGGAGCCCGATGAGGTGCAGCATGCGCTACTGTCGCTTCGAGCGAAGC